AAAAAAAAAAAAAAAAAAAAAAAAAAAGAAACAAAAAGAGATAACCAAAGGTTAGGGGAAACTGGCTGAAGGTAAATCATTCCAGAACTATTTCCAAGTAGCCATCCAGAAGCTCTCTAAAATGCCTCCAGGATTAGATTAATAAAGATGATATTTAGATGTACAACGCAACCATATAAAGCTAGCTATGTGCCAACAGATTATTTGGTGTTCGGAGGACGCTCCAACTGACTGCCCGGCCAGGGCTCTACCAGCCTTCGTGCATGCATTCTCGAGCTGTTAGGTGTGTGCTTATTAGGAGTTGTTATGCTTTCCTTGTGAATTGATCCCTTTACCACTATGAACTGTTCTCTTTATCCACAACAAGATTTCCTGTTCTGAAGTCTACTTTGCCTGACAGTAATATAGCCACCCCAGCTTTCTTCAAGTTAGTAATCGTTGGGTATATTTTCCCCATTCTTTTACTTTTAACATATTTATGTAATATATTTAAGGTGGGTTTCTTATAGACAGAAAATAGTTGGGTCTTTTCGTTTTTATCCCGTCTGATTCTGACTTTTAATTGTGGTGTTTAGGTCATTTAAATTTAATGTAATTATATATATAATGTGTTACTAATTATGGATGTGGTTTATTTTATTTTTAATTTTTACTGAATCTATTGGGGTGACACTGGTTAATAAAATTATACAGGCTGCAGATGTACGATTCTACAACTCATCATCTGTGTATTGTGTTGTGTGCCCATCAGCCCAGGTCGAGCCTCTTTTTGATGTGGTTCACTTAAAACCTACGGTCTTATTTTCTGTTTGTATCCTTCATTCCTCCCCCTCATATTCTGTTTTTGGTTTGAGTGTTTTTGGTTTTTTATCTCCACTACTTCTTTCAAAACAATGTTTAAATTGCTGCCCTACTGTTTACAATATATTTAGTAAATATCTTCAAAATACCTTCAAACACATCAAGTAAGATCACCTAGTAGATCTTTCTTGAGAAATTTGTATCAAGATACATAACTCAAGAAGCTTCTTGCATACAAATATCTAATCATTCCATTGCACACCTGAAACTAATACAATGTTTTATCAGTTATACCTCAATGAAAAAGCCCCTAAATAGCTTTTAACAATAAAAAATAGGTGAGAAAGGCCTGCATGGACTGAAAACATTTCTACTCACTGAAGAAAGTGAATAAGCCAATAAACATCGTTGTCGCACCCAGTAAATAAAATTCTCAGCTAACAACTTGCATAGTGTTATACAGTTTAGAATCTATTTCCTTGTTTTAACTTCAAAACAATGCTCTAACATGGTTATTATTACTATTGCTTTTATTTTTAGTATTTAGAAAGTACAGAAGTGCTATCATTATTGCATTTAATTTGATGGAAATAAACAAGAAAGAAATATGTAAAGGAAGAACTGAAGAACTCTCAGGCTGGAGAAGAGCTGTCTTAAGTGTTACACAAATGTTAGCCTAGTTCTATCAGACATTTTAAATCAATAAAAAACAGTGCTGTTGAACATTCATTATTATTTTCATTTGCTCCACAAAACAAACCCACGTAGTAGGTAGTGCAGGCACCACTTGACAGGCGATGAAGATGAGGTTCATCGAAATGACTTGTTCAAGAAAACAGAGCTAGTAAGGTGAGGGTCAATATGAGAACCCAGGTTTTTTTGTTGTTTTTTTGTTTGTTTTGTTTTGCTTTTACCTCATGCTAAGAAGACAAAATCCAGAGCTGAGAGCAGAATTTAAAGCCAGGGAGGTCAGAGCCACACAATGTAACTTGAAGGTCAGAAATCTCAATTTCCAACTGCTTAATAAGGTAAAACCCAAATGAAATAAATTCCCTGTATACCCACATTTTCTAGAATGCATCTAAATACAAAATAAAGGAAACACACTAACCTGAGATTCCAAACATTCAAGGTAAAATTATGTGAACCTTCTCATATTGATAATCAAACATCAACAAAACTAGTGGACTAAACTGGCCATTTCATATGCATAAGACGATACAGCAGCTAACGTATACTATGGATAGAGACAACAAAACTTAATATAGGTAAACCTCAGAAAGGGAGGCCCAAGGAACCTCATGTTAATCGCAACTAATGCTTTATCTATCTAGCAAGATAAAACTCAAACGCGCTTTCTTACCATAATACTGTAGTTGACATTAATGGTCTCATCCTCATAGGGGGTGTTCATCTGAACAGGTTTATTGTCATTCTTTCCCTTCCTTACAACATCATAAATGGGATTTCGAGGTTGCTGGTTGTATAGAATTTTTTTCAGCTGCTTTTCCAGAAGTTGTGGAGCATTGTTAACTACTTCAAACACTCCATAATCCGCATTAAACCTAATGGCCTCTGAAAAGGTCTGCAAAATAAGTTGTGGAAATATGTCTTTACATTTTCAAAAACCAGAAACTCGCCCTGCTGGCATGGCTCAGTGGTTGAGCATCAACCTATGATTCTGGAGATCATGGTTCAACTCCCAGGGCATATACCTGGGTTGAGGGCTCAATCTGGGGAGTAGGGGGCGTGCGGGAGGCAGCTGATCAATGACTCTCTCATCATTCATGTTTCTCTCTCTCTCTCTCTCCCTCTCCCTTCCTCTCTCTGAAATCAATAAGGACATATTTTTTAAAAATAAATAATAAATAAAATTTAAAAATAAAATAAAAAATCCAGAAACTGTCTCCAAGACTTGATACTTACATATACACACACACACAGTTTTGTGTTTTTAATCGTTACCTCGCCCCTTGAGGAGCATGGACATCTCACTACAGGTAAGGAAACCCACTGAATCCTTCCTCCCCAATGTGCTTAGACCATGATTTAAGTGTCAGGGTGCATTACAGCAGAAACTCCCTTTGCACAAACATCTCACCTCTGTGCTTCTTTGGAACTAGAAAGAAAGACACACCTGGTCTCTATGAAGCAACGTTACTCTCTTAGAAGTGCTTGTGTTGCTAGGAGAGATAGAGTAGAAGAAATGACACTGTTAGCCTTTTCATCCCCAGGAGCCATGAAAGCTGAAGGCTCCCTCGTCCAAAAGGAGAAAGTTAAGTACAATGTGTTCTTCATTTAACACTATTTCAACACCATTCCTCTCACTGTGACCAAAAAGGAAAGAGTGAAAGATAACATTTCTGAGCTTTTCTCGGTAATTACTAAATGCTGCCAACTTTTATTTAAAGTTGTCCAGTTAACAGACAACAGTCAGGAGTCGTGAGTTTGCCAGCTCGCCAGTAAGTAGCACTGTGATCGGGCAGATCATTGAATGTGTGGGGGCTCCATTTCCATAACAAGGGTGGGTTGGCTGTGTCTTTTCCCACTTTGCCCTCCAAACCTAGAATTAGGTCACTTTCCCAGAACATTAATTTATTTTAGGATAACTTCAGTGAACTGCCTACTCATGTAGATTAATTTATATAGTTTTAGCCAGATTGTAAAAGACCTTAAACCCTTCCCCTTGGATTGATCACTGTCCTAGAGAAAGTATCAATTCTTGCAAGTTTTACTAAGAGATTGCTAGATATACTACAGTTAAAATTTAATAACTGGCAGGATTCTGTAAAATTGGAGTTAGAAAAATATGTGTGTATATGTATAAATACCCATATATGTGTGTATATTTTATTTATTTATTCATTCATTTTAATGTCAGATGATATTACATCTCTAAAGTCTCATTGTCTCCCCTTCTATGGGATTTAAAGTGCATGGGCAAATAAAGTTCAATATGAATGTCAGGCCACAGTTCAAAAGGCCTCAGAGCTAAGATTTCCCCCTCAAAATGACAAGTGTAGCTCAATGGATAAGTAACAATATCTGGCAGTATATTGTGAATAAAGTTTCTTCAATAAATATATTTCATTGGTTGTCCACTGCATCTGTCTTTCAAACATGGGATTCAAACAGTTATCTAAAAGGCAAATATTCTCTCTGAAATATACTATCACTAGACTAAACAGATAAATACATCCATTGGCATCAGAGACCAGACTCATCCGGTTGGAGGAAGGAACTGAATTAAAGCTGGTAGAGACTGGACATCGACTAGTAACTGGGGTGGGGGAAATGGAGCGGTATAATGTGAAAGACCATCTGGAAAAGATTTCTTCTAGTTCAGGGCACCCACGGAACAAAAGAACGAGCTTGATCTGTATTTACTGTTTTCCTTTCTTTTTTCTGCCTCCTACCCTCACACCTGGTGGCCAGAGGAACACAAGGCTGTGATCACCCAAAGCCAAGAAGGCCAAGTAGTTCTATGGGCAAATAAAATACTTCCTATTAATCAAGTAAAAAAACACTCAAGTAAAAAAAAA